CCTTGTTTTTCATAACTGATTGATCTCGCTTAATTCCTAATTGAGTATTGGATTAGCTTCTGAATGATTGTCGCAGTTTTAGTGAAGGTAATGCACATCTACAATTGGAGTTAGCAGAACACGAAGTGGAGCACTTGTCAACAAAAGTGGAAAGGCTAGAGCGAACCAACGACCACCTTACAAAGAAGTTTGCTTTTACTTCCGAACGTTTATAAAATAATTTTGCTAACATCTTCCCACAAATTTTAGGTACATAGTACCTATTTCCAAGATGCAAAATTAATAAATGAACATTTAGAATTCATTGCAAATGAGAAAGATTTGATTAGTTGCGCTATCTGCATGCAGAACAAAATAAAATTACATCGTTATCTTCATGTCTTGCATATCTGTTTCAGGATTATGGAACTGGAAACCGATAACTCCAAGAAAGCCGCGGAGATGGGTGTACGACCGCCTGTAGGCGATGTGAGTGCTGAGCTTCGGTAACTATAATTATCTAGATGTATTCCATATGTTCAGTTCAACCTCACTCAAGAAATGGAAAAGGATATGGGAAAGATGATCGCTTATATCAGTGACCTTAAACAGAAAAATCATGAATTGAACTTGCACTTGAAGAACTACGAGGCGAAGGGCACTCCACCCATTCCTAAAGACACGGGTGAGCACAGTATTTTTTAAGAATTACACGATTTGATGCAGTGGATTATTCATAATCACCAAAGTAGGAAATATTATGCAATGTACATTTTTGTTGCGTGTTACATTCTAGCAAGTTCTCATTGATCATTCTACAAATGTTTGATGTCAATAGCTATGAAACATCAATGAAAACTTTGCATGGACCATTTTGATTTCCAGGAGCAGCAGATCTTCGAAGCGAACGCGAAAAGCGTCGTGCAGCCGAGACTGAAGTAACAGAGCTGAAGCAAATCCTACTGAAAAGCGACAATCAAAAAGTGATCGCATTAGCTACAAAGGCAAGCATGGACCGGCTTCTATCATGACTGGTTCGAAACGAGCGATCACGCATTTCAGATCGAACAACTCAACAACCAGCAAGCGATGATTACCGAGCGATGTAATGTTCTACACAAAAAGGCCGTTGCGAATAGTGATAGTGAAACCTATGCGGTAAAGTTTCTTAACGTTTCGATTAACGACTCCAAAAACTACTTAGTCCAAGGGAATTAGGTTGCGGGAGGACGAAACGCTTGAGGATAATTCTAGGTAAAGGCTGGTCCAGACGAAGGCGGCTGCTCGTATAAGGGAGGC